GTGTGTGTGGGGGGGGGGGGGGGGCACCTGGTATGGGAGAATGGATATTCCTAAGATTATAACCTCAGGTAAAATCTATCAACTTTATTGCTGTTTACATTCAGCAAAATGAGAGGAGATTCCAAAATCCAATTCTGAGCTAAGAAAAAAATTCAACGATTAAATGTGCTATTTTTAATTTTCCAGTGATGACCCTAGGGAGTCACATGATTTTATATCTCTTCAGTTATACACACCCTGAAGTTCTGCTTCATAAATAAGGAGTGCTTTAATATTACATGAACTGCCTGCACAAACTCATATGATCTCTGAACACAGTAATGTTAAATTTAAAACATTCTTTGTTTCAAAGTGCTCTGTATTCATCTTTCTCTTAATATTTCTTGACTATCCTCCTCTTGCTTCCCAAATAATGCCATATGCAACTTTATGTTATTGGCCAACTGTAATTTTCCCTCATGTTGGTTTATTAACATATGTGCAAATAAATCTTTACTGAACAGTTAAAATTGATTTTTTTTTCCGGCTAAATTAGAATTATGGCACAAAGTATTATCTGTGCTGTAAACATCATGTATCCATCACAACATTGGAAGGAGGAAAAAAAACAAAAGGCCCTATGGACTGTGAACATTTCTTAAGAACCACAGCTGAGCTCAAGTTTTCCAAATGGATTTTGGAATGGACTTGCATTTGGCATACATTCAGTGTGCTATTGGCAAAACGCAGTTTTACGAGAATGTCATTTATAAAATCATACTTTGTAAGGACTTATTTTTTTTTTCAAACTGATGGCCTAATAAAGCATGCAGTAACTTAAAAAATATATCTCTTATGTGGCATAAGTAAGTCTTAGTTACCAGTGTTGATATAGCTTGATGAATTGTTGTACAAGCCAAAGGGATCTTACCACACCTCTGATTGTACTTTCAAACAAAGGGCACGATATGCTTAATTCCTGACTGCTACAAATCACATTTTAAAACATCTTGTGTGCATGAATGTGTGTTGGAAAACCCCTGAAAAAAGCAGCAATTACAAATACCCTTATTATTATCTCCCTCCCCCCCAAAAAAATCCTATTTGGAGTGCTTTTTCCTGTCTTCCTCTTTAGTAGGAAGCAAAGGGAAGAAGCATGGGGAGCCTTGGTTTTCCAGAGAGCTGTGACTAGGTAAGTCTGCTCTGGGAATTCACAGTTTGTCTGCATAAACTGTAACATTTCATACCATGATTCAAAGTTCTAGTTAAAAAAATAAGGGCCACTCAGCAGTAACTTTAACAATTGGGATTCCACAGAAGAGCTCTTGACTTCTCTGTGTACATTCTTTCAGGAGTGAATCCTTTCCCAGTTTCAAGTATTCCTTTCTAGCTCTCACTCTGCAATGAGTTAAGAAAGGAAAAAACAAAACAAAACAAAAAACAACTCCCTGTTTTTCCTTTCGTGAGCACAGCGGCCACAGTGCCATTCCTCCCCCCGTGCAATGGGAAATGAAAAGGCTGGGTAGATGAATAGATTCCCGACGTTTCCTTTTCTTCAGGTTGTGCTCACGGCATCACTCTCAACCTGGAGCAGATGCTCTGAATTCAAGTGTACCGTGGCATCTCACACTGCTCACAGCGATTTAGTGCTGGGTGGTTGAGAAAGGTGCAGCTGTCACAATTCCATGGTGCTCCTTCGTAGTCTTCATCACGATGTTGTGTCCGAGGACTCTGTTTGGAGCCACTTAGATGCTCTGAGGGAAGTTAGGATTAAAGGAATGAGAGAGAGGTGAAAAAATTAATTTAATTTTTTCCGAGTATAATCCAAAGTGAAAGGAAAAACTACCACAAAAGCAAGGGAAGTAATTGCCTACCTTATCTAATGTATAAGCCAATCAGTAAATATAGCTACTGGAAATGCATAATTGAACAGAACATTTATGATACATATTTTATTTTGTTCTAAACAATTTACTTTTTTTGCCATAAGAAGATGGATTGAAGTCCAGAATAGATTGCCTTCCTAGTTCATTACCCATAAAAGAGTGGATAGTTATGCTTTATTCCAGCCAAATGAAAAAAAATGAGAATTGTTTTACAGGATATCAAATTGGTTCTGTCTCTTCCATAAGTTTTCCCTGACAACGTCAGCCCACCTTGACTTTTCCTCTCTGTAGTACCATCCACGTTATATTAAACATCTTACTAAATGTATGCCTTCTTCCATGAGACCTTAAGCATGTATTTTACACTAATGGTCCATAAATAGCAGTGGCAGTTCACTAATGAAGTTTTCCCCAGGAGACTGAAAAGAGAAAGATAAAGAATCTATAGTTTTTCATAGAGCTAAATTCATTCAGTATAAAAGACTGTTTTATTCTCATATTCTTCCCTACTTTTTTGGCCTTAAAATGTCCTTCATATATTAATTTTTTAAAATGTCCATACTTGGCAATATCAAATGCTGGCAACTTTATGTTGGGTCTCCGGGATTTTATAAAAGATTCAAAACTTGCATTCCTCTTAGGTCCTCATTCTCTTTGGCATTGTGTTCAAAAAGGCTTTTTACTTCTAGAGTTAATTTGTGAATCCCATGTCTTAGGGAACAGTCCCTACTGAGAGTGGAGTCAATGAATAGAAGGCTAAAGATCTCCAGATAGAATTAACCCTGAAATCTGGGGTAAGGTCAGGAGGCTGGAATAAATCACCTATATAATACTGGAAACAGTCACTGTGAACTGGGAATGAGACTAAGATCTAAGGTAAGCAACTTTTCTAAATAGATAACAAAAGAAACAGATCTGGAGAAGCTTTGTCAGTTACTATTTTGGGTTAAGCATATCCTCCACTGGAAGTTAAGTGACTTCTGGTTTATCAATATGTTTTTTATGACAAATAGCTGGTGAAAATTACTGGGTTCCTCAGCCTTTTCCTATGACTATAAATAGGAGACAAGCTTTGTTTCTCTTCTTCAACTTTAACTGCCATTATCACCCACCTTGTGTCTTTTGGCTTATGACTTCAAAACATATGAATTTAATATAGTTTTTCTTTTATGTCTCATATGGAGGAATAAAAAGCACATATTAAAGTCATTTCCAGAGCAGGTCCTCTTTTGTCTTTACCTTTTAGTAACAAACTATAGAAATGATCCCTGAAAGTACAGTCTTTGTCTTTACCCTTTAAAAGAACAATATGCCCCCAACACTTAAAAAAAAAAATCATCTTACTGCTAGTGGTTTTTAATAGACATGCTCTAAAAACTCAATTTTATCCTTTTCTAGGATAGGTGACTTTTTATTTCATTAAACATTTATTATAGAGTGAGAAAATTTACGATATTAAACTCTTAAGCTGTTACATCCTATGCTAATTCCAAATGCAGTCTTCAATGTTAGAATGTGGCAGTACAGATGTTTAATATAAAAAGGTTTTTTCAAACTCCTCTTTTTTGTAAACTGCATAAAGAACTGAAAAACCTCTTTTTTTTTTTTTTTTTTTTTTGAGTTGGAGTCTTACTCTATCACCCAGACTGGAGTGCAGTGGCCGCTCCCGGCCAGA